GAGAAAAATTTCACGATGAAAACAGGACTTCCTCTGTCGACTGATTGAAATAAATAAATCGATGATTGGGGCATGAACAGAAAAAAACAGATAAATAGAAAAGAACGTATTTGAGTACATATTTGTTGTTATTTGGTTTATATATGTTTTATTTATTATCATTAGTATTTTCATGTCGATATCATATACACGCATGGTTTTACTGTACGATGTCGAATAAAATAATCTGAATTGAATTGAATATCTACCAGTTGACACTTCTTATAGAAATACCACGTGTCAAAAAGCGCTCACTTTGTTAGCGGTCTTTTCCCACGCTCAGTAAAGTGACATTCAGTGAGGAAAAAATCCTCATGGCTACTTTGCGAAGCTGAACGCTCTGTTGTGCTGGATCCACCCATTGCTTCGAAAACCAAAGATTTTTGCCAACAATACATTGCAGTCAGTCTCCTTTGCTCAAAAACAAACGCAATACGTTTTTATTTACTGAAATAACACATGGAATGACAAAAGGCGGTTGTAAACAGCCCACTAGACAATCATCTTGCATATACCCTCTGATCTAAGGAGTTGAGTTGACTGCATATTTTCTATTTATTCGTCACTATTTTTAGGAAAATTAGCGTTGAATTGTTTCAATGGGAACCTGCTTGCAACTCTGTATTGATATCACAGTACTGAAATTTTCAGGAAGAGAGTTAAATGCTCCGATATATTATGCATTACCTCGTCAGCAACCCCGATCCTAACCATGGACGTAAGAGAGAGTATTCTGTCGATTTATCTATGATCTTTGAACTGCTGAGAACTACCTGAAAAAGAAGAAGAAAGATACAGAAAAACAATACTCTTCATAGAAGTGTTTATGTTTATCATATTGATAAGTTAACAACTTCCCGTTGATAATTCTTCTGTGTGGATTTAATTTTCAACACACATACACGATGCACATAACTAACATTGAATTGTTCAGAGTCAACTGAAGTAATTATAAAAGATGATAAATACGTTAAGAATTAAATAATTATTATAAAAAAATAGCAAAATCTTAATACATAAACCTTGGCCTAGCTATTCTTTGGAAAGATATTTAAGCCTAAAAACAATGCATATATATATATATATATATATATGCTTTGAGTTGTTTGGAGATATCCTTAGTCATTAAAATTTCGACTTTATAAAACTTTCTACTTCTCATGAAGGCGGGCTTTTCAAACAACTAAAATACAACGGTCGCATAGCATTACATGTGAACATGAGCGAGTAGCTATACTGTACATGTTCACAAGCCAAAAATTGCATTAGGTAATATTTATAGTAATTCCCTAAAGATACTTGTGTAGTTTTTGTATGCGTGTTAGTAACTACTGAAAATCGTATAAGCTCGTAACTCAGTAATATTTGTTAATTAATGTTTGGGGCAGCATATCAGCCAACAGTGGTGGTGATATACATGAAAGCTATGATACTCTGGCTGCTGACATGTAATTCCATTACGAACACGGCTCGTCGTGCGGGGATTCATTCTCAGGATGACAACGATCCAAAAAGCATACAGCAAGTGTAGTGAAACAGTAAAGAGGACCACGGAACATTCGGAGCAACAGCTTGGCTGCACTAATTGCTGGTATGAATACGTTAATGCTGTATGGGCTTATACCGAGACTGTCAAAAGGCGACTAAACAACGCGGCTAGATTATATGGTGTAATACTCTGCATAAAGCAGAAGATTCACATATAAAAATTGTAGTGCATTATATAAATTATTCTTCTGTTTTTTGAAGTTTCTGTTATTGTGTTATGCACGATTGATAAAAACTTTATGTAGTTGCCACTAATTCGTTATTTGTGAGTCGTGTATGTGTATAGTTTATATGTTTCCATAATTATTTCCATTACTATGCGTGTGTGTATATACACTAAGTATTCCAAATATTTAAATAATCTAAATAATAGTATGTTTTCAAACAGAAAGAAAATCTACCTACTTTACTGACATAGAATTGTAAGGAATTATAAAATCAATATTCCAAGAGTTTATTAAAAGTGGTCTTTTTTGTGAACTTTTAAGGTATATAAACAAAAAGTAATAATAATTTCGTATATATATATACTGAGTGGTCACAAGTAAATAGACACCTAATTTTTCGTCATTTAATTGATTTATGCTAACTAATTTGTGTTCACTGAGCACTATATAAATGAAAATGGTCCGCACACTAATTATCTTGTGCTACAACATGCTTAGAACTCAAGGTTCTCTCGAATTGTCAGATATTGTTAGAGGAAGGATAGTTGGTCAAGCAGATGGTGGAATAAGTTAGCGGCAAATTTCGCAGAATTTGGGAATCCCGCTTTCGACAGTCAAAAGAATCATCGTGCAGTTCAGGAAACACGGCAAGGAAACAACTGAGCAGTGTCCGGGTCGTCCTGCTCTATCGGAGAGGACAAAAGGGCT